GGATCTCGAGAAGCGAATCCTTCATCTCACTTGCTCCTCCTTGCTCTGCATTTCTTTCGAAAACATCGTGATTCCTTCAGGAAAATTTCGCTCGTCTGCGGTCTCCGCCAATCGTGGCAGGAACATAGAAGAAAGCCAACTTCGTTTAAGAAAAATGTAATACCGCCGATTTCATCCGCTGGCCTCTTCATATACAAGCCCCATTCCCCTTTCCCGTGAGCTGAATACTTCACGCTGGTCTAAGTTAGCCCATGGGCGGTTGAGCCCGGTTGAAGATGCTTCATACTCTAAGACACGCCATCCGCCAGCACGTGAAAGGGATGATAACAGCAATGACTTTCAAATGAAATTGGACCCGCCACAATCGCTCGATTTCGTCTCCGATGGGTATTGATGCACTTGCCATCGAAGGTAACCACTTTCAGTCGCCGCTGACATGATGCCAGTGTTTAAAGAAACAACCACAGATCAGATAGGTGAGGTAACAGCGGTTGATAATGATAGAGAGGAAAGGAAGTCGAGTGCAATTCACACACCACAATTGACGACGGCCAAGAAAGAGAAAAGAAAAAGCCATTTTTCCTTGGCCGTCGTCACTTGTGGTGTGTGGTCTGCACTCGACGCTCTTCTCGTTTTCCGAAATAGAGGGTATCTATCCATCCTATCTTATCCACCTGCATGCTAGGAGGTGCGAGGTATCTCGTCCGTAAGTTCACATTAGCCGCCACCAGATCACTTTGTAAGGCCCTAGCGCCACTGTCGCGCACTTTTAAGCCGCGACAACGCCACATCTGTGCTACTCTATCCCAATCACAGAACACCATCTTCGACACACTTCATTTAAGGTTATTGCCTTGACTTCCCGAAACGACCTATACCTTAGCGGATAACTCGTCTACTTCCGAAAGAGCAAAATGGTCGCGCTTTGTGAGTTGTTAAGTGTTTTTGTCTTGTTCTTTCCTCAAAGGCGCACCTTTTGGCACTTCTAATTTCTCATTTCAACGATATCAGATTATCAAAGGAGTTGCCTTCAAGATGCCCTCGCATTAACACCTTAACGACAGCGCGGGGTACAATATCATTAACACAATGAAAAACTTTAGATCTTTGTTGTGCATCATAAGCACCATATCTTGGTGCAGGATCAGCAAGTGAACACCGAAACCAAGTTAGTCACGGAAAATAAAATCGAATAGAATAAAATTGTAGGCAATAAAAGAGAAGATATGGAAGCCAGACTGCAAAGAGTTCAATCTTTTCGAAAAGATTTGCGCGAAGATTCGTAATCAACATTAAAAAGTATGGCCATAAAGTCAAGAAAACTCACACAAAACGAGCTGATTATAGACAAAAGGAAACAGCCGATGAAACATTGTATTCGCGTCTCCCACGCCAGCGAAGAGGAGGATATATTGGGCTCCTAGATGCAATCATATTAGTATTCAATGAATATATGAGCGAAAACGCCTTGCTGTGGTATTAAGTAAAAAAAAGCACCATAGAACTTCTGTGAATGGTTTTCAGTGTCGTCGGATGTACGTATTCTCAGCTAAATCTTCAGGCAGGTAGAGTGCACGCAAAATACGTACGATCCAAAGGAAGAATACGGCCCGCGTATTTCAACACGCCACCTCGCTTTGACTGACATCGCGCGTTTTGTGCTTTTGGCAGGCCTCGTGGACAAGAGCAATTTTTGCAAGCGCGACCCGCCGCACAGAGAGAACCGCACTACATGAGATTCTATAAGTATATAATCCGCATCCGCTTAAATGCGATTGAAGATGTCTCCTTCCAATGGTAGTGTGCGAATCATTCCTTTTCGGGAGTTACAAGTAGATGGAAGTTTGACCGAACGACATGTTAAAGCCATGAATAGGCAAACTTTTACTCAATTTCCTTTTAGTGGTTCCGAAATTAATTCGGACGAGATTGTATCAGTAGAAAACACATATCTTCCTATACGAATAGGTTTGTATTCACTTCTGTTATTCCTTTATAATGATTTATCGACATGATTATTGTTATTGAAAGAAAACGAGGAATGAATTGAACAGACATATCGGTAAGGTCTGGAAAACGTCTGCCAAACTAAAGAATATTTGGCCTTTCTGTGAGCCATGTGGTTTTTAAGTATGCTAATGTATGACCTATAGAATGAGTACAAAAAGACCTTAGGAATAAGTCGCACAAGCGCAAGAAAAAGGGATGACTTGGGTGGGACGCGTTACCGCGCACAATGTCCCACGAGGTGCGCAAAGTGGGACGCGTTACCGCGTCACGCTGTCGTCAACGTGTTAACAGACCATGCAGATCGTACGTTGGGAGTACCCGTCCTGTTTTCGTCGTGGTCTTTGATTCACAGAATGGGTAAGACGACAACAATAGCCGTTCACAGATAAATCATTATGCCATAGGAAAATCGAACTTCCGCTTCTTCTATTATTACTTCATGATGAGCTCTGCCGTTTTCCAGCCAGTGATTTTGAGCCTTCTTAGCCGCTGAATACGGCAATTGAAAAGTGTTATCACATAGCGGACAAGTCTCTGGTGTTTAGGACTGCTCCGACACGCGACCAAATTCACCCCCATGCTTCACTGTTGCTTCATAAGATTTTTCGCTGTCTGTTGCTTCACTACATACCTTCGATAGCCTGAGGCTTCGCACAAAATCCGATTTCATACGGTGTCAGACTGGGGCTACACTCGAAGCTACCCCAGAAATTTTGCACGAAAAAGTGGCATGTTTCAAGTGAGGGGACGGATGCGCCAAAATGCAAAACGAAACAGTTTAAGGCGCAAGCAATGCGCACTGGTAGATGCCAACCGAGAAGTGCACCATTTATGTTGCACTGTACGCACAGTCTCTACAATCCGGCTGAAAAGCATAGACGCGTTATTATTACGAATGCGAGCGCTAGTAGTATGAGAAGGTAGCTAGGCGGCGGGTCACGGTTTGCGATGGTGCGATTTTTCGACTAGGTACTTAGGTGCCAAAGTCAAACTTTGCGATGGTGCGATAAATCGCGTGGCCACGGAATCCATGATCAATACGTATCTACCTCACACACAACTCCGAACAAAGTTCAAGATAGCATGGTGTGACCATGGCCTGAAACTTCGTTCTGCTAGGCAGCTATAAACGTTTGAGCGAAGGAGCCGGTTTTGTCACTACTCCGAGGCGAGCTGTGGACCAAAAGAGTGTTCATTTTTCATAAGAAACATGTTTTTTTTATTATTGTCTTTTCAACTCTCTATGGAGAACTGGGCTTTAAGGGAAGACTGGGGGGGACAGTATGGGCGGAAGTGGTGTAGTGGCAAGTGGCACGCTTACCACGCGAGCGGTCCGGGATCAAATCCTGGGTCGTGAGTCGCCCGGGCCAACCAAGCCTTCCATCCCTCCGGGGTCGGTTAATTGGTACCAGACTTGTCTGGGAGGATAAACACGACTTAAACACTGACTTGAACATCGGCTGGCCCCCGCAAGTCCTTGTAACTGGCCGGACATCCCGCATTCCAAATGCCACCCGCACACGCGAAGAGAAGTACAAATGGAACGTCGAATGCGTGCCGGCTCCACCCAAAAAGGGATTGATAAACCAAATGTGTTGTTTCTGCTTTAATCTTTTACCTTCATCTTTTGTAAACTAATATTGGCCTGGCAGAAGAAATACCAGTTCTCACGGTCAAATTCCAATGCCATTGCTTGACTGATTTCCAACCAGACCTACTAAAAGTTCTGCTTATTTGGAAGCACGACTTTTGCGCTCGTACGTCCATGGTATTGTTAGCTTGTGCTCCAAGAAAATAGTGCTTCAGTTCCTTCAGGTCTTGAGTACTACATGCTCAAGGAGCGATTCCGCGCTCAATTTTCTTTTTCTAACTCGAATTGGGGCAAGGAAGAGCGGAATCAGCTTACGATATTATCATTTCATTTTGTCTCACATTCATGGAAATTTGCGTGCAGTGATAGTTTGAAAAGCTTGAGTAGGGATGGTGAGGACCTCGAAGGTGTTGAGGGTGGCCGTTGGATAGCGAGCGTTGCTAAAAAACAGCTGAAACACTTGGAAGACCAAATGAACGTAGAGCTGTTGAAAAACGCCGGTACAGTAGCAGGCATAACTGATTTGTGGTTCCAGGTCAGATAGGATAGGTCGATAAAGTCCGAAAAGTAGATAAAGGGGTGCCGCAAAAACCCGCCTCCGGTCGTGGAGCTCTTGCTGTCTTCTTTCACCCAAAGAAAACGAACCGTTTTTGTTAGGATTCTAACACAGCAAGTTAGAAATGGGTTATTCGCAATAACACATGTACTTCGGCCGAGTTGTTCGGTAACTGTTAGGGTCAACAAAACTTCGCAACGGTGAAAATGCACGGAGGAATAGTTATGCTGCCTGTTAGGCTGGTGTCAGAGTCCGCGATCCGTCGCAGGTTTCGCTGATTTTCGCGATTTGCGCGAAACCTGCGACGGATCGCAAAAATTGCAAGTGCCCCATTTGAACATTTGAACTGAATATGAAACAAGTGGAATCATGAGCAGTCGTCATTCACTATCAAGCAGAAGTGGCGGCTAGAACACTTTGCAGTATTGATCGGACTCTTGTGATTTCCGTGACCCGTCGCGTGAATCGCGCAAATCGCGAAATCGCGAAAATCGCTAAAATCAGCGAAACCTGCGACGGATCGCGGACTCTGACATCAGCCTTACGCGGACAGCAACATGCGCAGCTCCCTGAGCACAAGCAGCACTATCATAGTGGGACAGTTTCTTAGCAAAGTGTTGAAATGCCCCAAAACCTGAACATGCGCACAGCAAGGGCTGCCATAAATGGGCCGACTTCTCCGAGACGCAACTCAGCCGCCGATCAGAACCTACCCTATAAAAAATGAACTAGCTGGAGTGCTGGACTATGCCAGAACGTTCTCATTCACTGGCCTCTTACCTATCCACTGCCAGTTTTTCAACAGTCTGGATAGCGCCTTAGAAGAGAAATGCTGCGAAACCTAACATGATGATGGATGGACTTTGGCCAAGTTCATTTCCTCTGAAACTCCACTACTTTCAACGAAAGGTTTGGTCAAACACATATAATGTTGGCAAAGAAGAGTAGATTGTGATGGATTCCACTACGAACGAGAATATTGTGTTCGAGTCGATATATGCCCCTTTGAACTTTAGGATCCGAGACGGCAAGAAATTTCCTTACTGCCTAATACATTGAATTATTTGTTGTTAGTGTCGCGTACTATCGTGATCCTCGGAGTCGTGAACTACCAGCGAGGCCTTAGCGAAAGTCCCGATAACCAGTTAAGAACAGATGTTTGAAAAAAAAGGGAATTCGTGGCAAAGTAGAAGACGATTCAGTCACTTTGAATGCGACTGACGTGTGCCCATGACTATCAAGAATCCATTAAAGAATGGGAACTAAACGGTCCCAAGGAATCATACCGTGATATTCTGTGTGCTTCTGTAGTGGCTATTATCGACATCCGCTGGCGAATCGTCGCCTTGCGTATTTCGCATAGTTCCAAACATTTACCAACTCCTAAAATTTATCGCCATTAACAGAGGCAGAAAAAAGAAAAAAAGATTAAGAAATAGTTGCAGCACATATCGTCCTAAGGTTGGGTGCAAACACTGCTTCGCTAGCGTCTAATAATCGTTGAGCTGCAGCTGGCCGTCTAGGGGCCGTATGATACTATTCTTTTTGGAGGACAGAACCCCTTTTAGATCTCTACTTCAGTCGGATCTACTCCAGATCCCGCAACAATACTCTGCGTGCACACCACGGATCGTAACTTAGTTGGGGGTGGGGACCTACGCAGCCAGACGACTTTAATTGTCTGCACTCTAAGGCTTTAGTCACAGGGCGCTTATAATTTACCGCCCCTAAGCCTTAGAGAGCAGTTTCGAGATACAGGGCTCTAAAGCCTTGGAGAGAAGATGGACAAAGCGCCGCGCCACCGCTAGTCCTTTCCCCCCACACCCAAGTAAGCACCCGCATCACACAGTCAACAGTGGTATACAACAATAAAAAATCTGGGATTTCTACGATCTACTCGTTCCCTCTTTCTGAAGCTTGCGTTTTGTACTGCACCAAACAGTGCTCCCCTCGAGAGTAATTCCCGCAAATTCTTACGAGTTGTACCAGTCCATTCATCCATCACAGCTTTATTTCACATCAGAAAGCCTCTCTCGTTTAACTTCAGGCATTATGCAACTGGCCTGAACCGCGGTCGGCTCAATGTGGCTCAAAGGGGGGGGGGGGCAGTCACCACATGGTGTGTTCCGCGCTCTCTCTGTGAAATGTGTAAACTCGAACATTCCAACTTTTCACGCATTTCGAAGTGACTCGCCTCACCTCCCCTGGGTTTACGGACTACTTGATTTTTCCTCAATGGTCCTGCCGCGATGGCTAGAGCACAGACGATTAGAGAATGCCCTAGGACTAAGCCTTGGAGAGGAGAGGGACCCGCTAGAGAGCGCAGAGGCGGTAAAGGGCTGAGTTCAAGTAGTCCGTCAACCCCCCCCCCTCATCCCCCTAGACTACACTCCACCTGGCTCACGGATCTCCCGCCCCGCACTGAAGTACGCGAACATGCCACGCGCCGCAGCGGCAACTGCCTCCCCGGGACATATTGCACCCCACGGTCATTGTTGTGATCTAGCGATTCTGCGATTTTGCGCTTTCTCGTGAAAACGTACGGATTATATTCGCAATCGTGCGATCACACGATTGTAGGAGGCGATGGTCGATACGTATCTACTGCAAGACGGTCGCAAAGTACACACGGCGGCGCGGAGCTCTCTGAGGCTGGTGTCAGAGTCCGCGATCCGTCGCAGGTTTCGCTGATTTTCGCGATTTGCGCGATTCACGCGACGGGTCACGGAAATCACAAGTGCCCGATCAATACTGCAAGGTGTTCTCCAATCCCGCCGCCACTTCTGCTTGATAGTGATGGCTGAATGACGACTGCTCATGATTCCACTTGTTTCATATTCAGTGTTTCAAATGTTCAAATGGGGCACTTGCAATTTTTGCGATCCGTCGCAGGTTTCGCGGAAATCGCGATCAGCGAAACCTGCGACCGATCGCGGACTCTGAGCTTATCGATACCCATAGCCTCTCGTTTGGTCATAGCAGTGGACACCAGCCCCACGTTTATTTCGCGTTCACCGTATTCAAAATCGGCGTGCACATCCGACTAGCATTGCCGTACATATTTCTTTCGCGGACTACTCCATTCTCCCAGGGGCCGTATGCTGCATGTTGGCGAGGTGATGGGCCCCCGACTCGTGATGCTGAATGTTGGGGACCCCAGCAGGGTTTCGTCGGACCCGGCGGTGTAGGCCAATGCTTGGGTTCTGTGATTCGATTCTGGTTTGAAAGTTTTAAATCACAGATTCGTTCGCGTATAGATTGCTTTATTGAAGTAATGACCAATATGGCACGAAGTAATAGGAGATGCGAACTAAACCGCAATCTAAAATAATTAATGAATAGCTGGACATGATTACGACTAACAGTTAAACGTATATATAATCGAATCTAGTACATAGCAAAAAAGGACAAACTGATGTAATTAACGGCGCAATGTGGCTCGGGGGGCACTCTGAGAAAAGTCATCTAGGACTAAGCCTAAACAGCAGGGACGAACTCCGGAGAATACGAAAATTGCTTCCGTACACCGGAGTTCCTCTCCTCTTCAAAAGCTTAGTCCTAAAACGGAGCGTTTCCGTGATTTTGACGCGATGTTGCGAGGTGCCCCCCCCCGAGCCACATTGCGCCCTAATAAACTATACAGCATGATGTTGCGTTGGACCGAATCCTAGCAATCTAACACCCGTGAAAAGATGAAAACAAATTGGCAACAACACCACGAAGCGCGCAGTACCAGCCGGTTGCTGCGACGCAGACCTACTGAAGATCCCAGACATTCACATTGCGGGTCGCGGCCCCATCCACTTCCGCAACATTCCAGCAGACCGCCACCCGCCGGCGATTTGCACAAATTTCAGGAGCGACGGACGCTTGAACGATCGTCCGTCCTCCAAAGTGCGCGAGGACGGGAGATTCGCCCGCCGACCACCGATAACTCCGCGCCATCAGTCATCAAACGCCCGTCGCTCGCACTGCAAGCGACGGGAGATTTACCGGAGCGGGGCCGAGTTATCGATGGTCGGCGGGGGGAATCTCCCGTCGCTCGCACCTTGGAGCGACGAATGTTCAAGCGATCGCCGTTCCTGCAATTGGTGGCAAAATCGCTCCAATCGCAAAGTCTGACATCGGCCAATGGTGTGCGATCGTTACGATCGGATGGCCGACTATGAATGCGCCCTGAACATTGCCTTGAGGTGTGGTCATACTTTGCCACTGTCTTGCACTCGATTTGCAGTTCGAGTGTGGAGTAAATACGATAGATCTTGCGGCAGCACCATCAGCACGTGCCACTCTACACGTGGGTGCAAATGAAATCGAAAGCAATCGCAAAGTATGGTCGCGGCCTCGTTTACCCATCTGTGCGCTTGAGTTAAGCTGCCTTTTTCCTCTAAAACAACTTCGGCAATCAATCGGTCAGTGAAGTTCGTCTTACCGTAAGTTCATATATAATGCAGGAATAACAACCAAATATAAAGGACTTACCCACTTGCCGAGGTCGCTAGTGAAAAAGCTCGATCGAAGTACTTGAACCGACACTGGAACACCAGCGGCGCGTCAGCCTACAACTGTTGGCGCTAATTACGCGGCCGAACTGGCCCAACTTCATGAAATATTGTCTGAACGGTTTGCCTTTCTTTCCCACTGTAATTGTATTTCTTCCTTGTTAGATTAGACTTCTACATTCTCCTATTGCTGCCCAGTAATGTCCAGTTGACATCGGTCACAAATTTGTTGCGAATATTGCCCGTTAAACTGTTTCCCTTTTTTCGTGAGCAGTTCTCAATTTCTTCTCCTTGTTATTTCTTGGTTTGGCGCTATCGCAAGATGCGGTGGTAATGTGATGTCAGTGCACTTCTAGGCGTGTTAGCATTTTTCGTTTATCTCAAGGCTTCTGCTCCTTCCTAGGTTAGTCCTGGAGGATGTCCCCGCATCTTACGGTAGCGCCATTGATTTCACTATAATAGTTTCCTTTTTCTCATAATTTCAGTTTTTAAGCACTGCTGTACGGTTATTGGTGTGACTGCTTATAGCAATCAGTAGTTGGATAGGGTTGACAACTTCATAATCATTTTAAGAATGTTTGCTAAGCAGCGCAATGAATTTGTGGGATATCTTATCGCGAATTTGGTAGTATGGGAGCGTTTAGGAATTACTCTAGATCGTAACCACAGGATCGGCAAGGAACTTCCAGACCTTAAAAATACCCACGAACAGTGCTCGGAGAGTAAGCGGGAGCGCTCATGGCCGGACGCATAGTCGGTCGGACGACAGCAACGACTGCAAGTGTCGCACAGCATTGGATGCGTATCGATCGTCGGACTTGCCTGAGTATTCGACGATTAGATGCAGTCAGACAGTCAGACAGTTGCGACCGTTGCTGTCGGACGACCGACTATGCGTGCGCCCAATGGGCTTGCAGTTGGGTGGGTTCCCAGATTGTTGGGCAGGATAATAAGAGATGTCGAGTTTATGTGACCCTTTTAATGTCACCTTGCGGTGGTTCAGTGGAATTGTATGCGAGAGAGTACAAAAAGAGAGTTTGAGCTGCAAACTGTTTATCGAGCGTGTTCAATACGTGAGTGCCGTATGCACGTGTCTTACATAAAGGTCCGCCCCCCGCCAGACGTAAGGATAAAGGGGAAATCATCGCCTGCGCAGGCGATGTTCCAGATGACGATTTCTTGAAATGAGGATGTTCTGCAAAGAAAGAGGCGACTTTGCTTGCCTGCATTTCCTTATACCGTCTTCCGATTTTTAATCCTTATAATTTTTGCAAGAGAGGGGATCCCCATGGTGTGTGAACCATTGCTTAAACTTTTACACCTACCCCGGCGCTTCCTTCCCCTTATAACGTGGATTAGGCTGGTGTCAGAGTCCGCGATTTTGTCGCAGGTTTCGCTGATTTTCGCGATTTGCGCGATTCACGCGACGGGTCACGGAAATCACAAGTGCCCGATCAATACTGCAAGGTGTTCTCCAATCCTGCCGCCACTTCTGCTTGATAGTGATGGCTGAATGACGACTGCTCATGATTCCACTTGTTTCATATTCAGTGTTTCAAATGTTCACACACTTGCAATTTTTGCGATCCGTCGCGTGAATCGCGTGAATCGCGCAACTCGCGAAAATCAGCGAAACCTGCGACGCATCGCGGACTCTGACACCAGCCTACTTCATGCAGTATGAAATGTCGCGCCACGTGCCCTCCCTTTACTGGATGTGACCTGAATTATGAGCTATAGTTTTTTTTCTGCTTCTGCAACAGGTTCACTGAAGTGAAGCAAAATAGTGAAATGAAAGAAATTACACCCACTTTCAAATAAAACGTGACGCTTTGAAAAACTCTGGAGGCTGTTGGTATATCTTTGCTCCTCTTACAAACTTTCAACCCCTCTAGAAGGCAACAATTCCAGATCGAATTCGCGGAGTGAAGCGGGACTGTTGCTTTAACCAGTTATTTATAACGTTTGTTTCTTCAATTTTGCTGTTTTCGGATTCTCGAAACTTGGAATTCGCCCAGTGATATCCACTTTTTTAATCGCTTTTTTTTACTATTTTGTTTCAGTTTACGTTGTATAGAACTCACAAGGGTCCCAACGATGCCGCCAAAACAGCAACCAAGTAAAAAGGCAGAACAAAAGAAGAAGGAAAAAATTATCGAGGATAAGACGTTTGGTATGAAAAACAAGAAAGGGGCGCAGAATCAGAAATACGTCCAACAAATTCAGAACCAGGTCAGTAAGACGGCATCTTGTTATGCATAGTTTTTCATAACCCATTTTTTTAAGATACGAAATAATAATGCCCGACTGGATCAACTTAAAGCTGCTGAGGCAAAGAAGAAGAAGGAGATCGACGATTTACGTGATGTTACTAAACTTATCAAGCCTGTAGAGC